TTGCATCCGCATGGCGTTTGCAGCTTCCACAGCCGTTCTTGTTGTGCAATCAGCCGTCTTGAGTGGAGGAAATCCTTGCGTCACATTTCGTAGGCTATTAACGTGCTTGTACAGCAACTTGTGATCAGCACTGACAGTTTTTGCGATGTTCTGCTGATACTCGGCTTTGTCGTCTCTTAACGGTTGAGTGCAGTGCTTACGTTGGGTTACGTAGTTGTCCCAAGTTTCTTGTGCTGGAGCTTCTCTGTACACTCGCCATGTTGTGTTGCGTACTGTCATCCATTTTCGAGTTCTGCTCCTAACGTAAGAAACTGATGTACAATTCTAGCAAACTTTTATCTCGGAAGCCACTGCAATCAGCTGACTGAATTTTTTGACGAACTCGAGCCAGGCGACTTCCGGGGGTTCTTCTTTGAGGAACGACCAAGTTGTGGTGCTAACCAGATAGGCTAATCGATCGTACCCTGTGATAGTTCGCACAGTCTCATCGTTCTCATTCCGATATTCTGCATGGCAGCCGAAGTTGAAACTAATCACGGCGTGATCACCGCGACCCAACGGTTAGCCTAAAACCAACGTATCAATCATATGCTCCTCGTTAGTAAGCACAAGATCCAGCAAAGATGACTTGTTACCTGTTCTGAACCGAGTGGGCAAAGTGATGTGATTGTAAAGAGGAACAGTAGTTACTAGATCTTGTAGATCGGTTTTGACTTGTTCTTCGATCGTGGCGGGGGTTTCTAAACGATGTACGTTGAAATCACCCATGATAAGAATGTGAGTGTAGTTTTGTTGTAAACTGCACCTTAAAACAGCCGCTAGGTGGTAGTCAGTTTCGGGTGTTGAGTTAGGGGCGCGGTGCACCAAAACAATAAGGCAAGCGTCCCTGCCTTTTAACTGCAACCGGCACCAAAGAGAGTCGGGGAACTGCGAGTCTGAATCCTCCAGGGCTTCGCACTGTAAGTCGTTTCGGTAATACAGGATTACCCCTCCTCCTTTTGTGAGCCTGTCGCTCCGGATCAGCGACATGCCCGGTAGTGAAAATTCAGCGCCCGTCATTCCCGTGTTCAACCCCGTCTAGGAGATACCAGTGACGTCATATGACACGGAAGCTTGGTGATCTTTCAGTTCGGCCAGTTTGTTAGAAATACCCTAAGCATTTGTGTACAAGCAGGCCAGTTTCTCGGTCTCTAGGAGCCCACAGAGGGGCGAAGCGTTCACATGTAGGAGAATGCCGACCGATGGGAGGTCGGCAGTTACTAGTTTTTTTATGGGATAATGAGACCTCGTTTGCAACTTGTTTCGGCCAAGGTGCGTCCCAACCTTCGTTTAGACCTACGTTCGAGTCAACTAAAGCAGCAGTCAAGTTACACGTCTCTACATTCTTCGGTATTCTTGCTGCTTCAGTTGCTTTAATATTTGAGCTGTGTAAAGCGTCTGCAACCTTTAACAGAATTTTGGAAGGAAGATCTTTCCGATTTCTCCGCCATTGATGCAAAACATCCTTTGCTTGTTGCTCTGACTGAACCACAAGTTTTAGGAATCTAGGTCCGCATCCTCTATAATTTGGTGAGAGAGGTATCCTGATGAGCGAAAGTGTCATAATATTATCCAAAGAAAGTGTTTCACGAATGAACCGCCACTTTTCTAAATCGTGCTTTGCGGTCTCTTGAACATCATTAGAAGGATGTGCTGTGACGCCTTGTATGAAGACTGCGTTTAGGCGGTCTTGCTTGCTGTGCCCCTCTTCGGTGTTTCGTTATGGTTGTCGAGCGCTCCAATGGACATCAGGATAGATACGTATCCCACAGGATCCGTGAATTAGCGAGCTTGCAGAGAGCAAAACGTTTTCTACGTCGGTGGAGGATTCTAGAGTTACTCGAATAAGTCTGGGTTCTCCATAGTGTGGCGAGTTCGGATGACGAGTAATTCGTAACAAGTTTATGGGCTTGGCTTTGATACTCATTTGCAAACACAATTAGTTCTATTGGTCTTGGTCGTCTGATAACTTATCCCGCAATGTGATGGCGGTAGATTCAGGGACATTTGAGCGTACAACAGTCCGGGCACTGTTGTTGAATCCCTTTTTCGTTGAACTACAAGGTATGGTACTCGTTTGTCCTGACTTGTCGACAAGTGATTGTTTGCTGTTTTTCTCTCTATTCGCATTAACGGTGTTTACAATGGAAGAGGACGCAACAGCGGCCTCTCGGTGGACCCTTGTAGCAATCTCTACATATGTAACCGATGTTCTGGGAGGCTTAGTCTCGACAAGAGATATTTGAGCTACAAGTATCAAGGATTGGTGTTTGGCAGCTTCATCCTTGTTAATGCTAGATGTCAGGTCCAGTGAAATTCGCTTAACCAGACTTTTCGAGTGGCGCCTGATTTTCGTTGCCCTGAGTACTGTTTGACTCTCGTAGGTACGGTCTGTTTTCACCCGGCCTTCTACCAAAGTTGGAGATGACAACGGAGATGGAGACGTGGCTGATTGTGTTTAAGGGGAAGCGGATTGTTCAGCATTCCTTGGCTTAGCAGCCGCTACGCTTCTGTGACACATACTCGCTTCCATTGAAGTAATCTTATCGTTTATCCTCTACTCTCCTTCTGCGGTTAACCGGTCGCATTTCTGAGCTAGGATAAGCAAGCACTTAACGGGGGGATGGTGGAACACGAAGTACAGAGCCAAAACGCATCTTTGGAGCTATTTCGCTCCCGTAACTGTGTTTGGGACACATTTGTACATTTTGTATTATACCATTCCACTCGATGACATTCTCCTAACCCGCAAATGCCTTTCGCTTGGAGCCTCTTCGGTTTCGTATTTCTGCCGTTCAATTTGGTGTCGTTACCTGACCCAGTGGGTTGGTTAGCGTTCTGCACTTTTACAGCTTTGAGAGTGGCGCCCATCGGTCAGACTAGCGTGGTGGTTGTAAGGTCAAGTGAGCGGTCGGCGTTGTCGCGCGGTCCATGTGATGGGTTATGCAGGCGCACTGGCTGACAAGGTCGCAAGGAATGGTGAGTGACTGGAACCTGAACAGAGCGTTGAACACAGATTGACAGCTCGTAAATTCTTTCACAGCTGGGTTGAGAAACACTGAATAGGAGTAAGCTTAGGCTTTTCGGTCTGCCTCGAGAATTCTGTATCTAATGGTGTCACACAGAAAGACAACCGACTCAATGTGATTAAATTAAACGCTTGCGCTTAATCACGGATGCCAGCGAGAACGGTTAGTGATGGCGCAGCCTCTAATCGTAGAAGAAATCTCCACGTATGATGAGTCACTGTGTAGGGCTTGTAAATTCTGTTCGAATGAGCGTACGGTGACAACGCTGCGAGAAGATGGAGAGAGGATAGAGGGGAATAATCCAAATGAACCAGGAGCACGCACGTCAAGAGTGTGTGAGGATGACCTTGGACGGAAGCGATAGAATAGTTTGTTGAAGGAATTGTTACAACCAGATTCAGTAAAATAATTATTGTGCATGCCGAGAAGTCCTTGACGGCTGTTTCCTCCTATTGGGACTCCTCAATAGCGTGCATCGACTAGAGTCGGATGGAGTTGAACTCTAGGCTTAACTCTTTGGTAACAGCTATTTGGTGCACAGAGCCATGCACGACGGGAGTAGATCGCCATGGGTGATTTCTATCGTCGATATGTCATCGATCATCCCTTAACACTTGAAAATGACTCTTGTGACGTTGCACATACGTCACGGGCAACTACACGACAGACCCACACGGCTAATAGGGGATGATCTCCAGTGTGCCCAAAGCTGTAGTTTCAAGTGATGTTGGAGGAGTTATGTAATGCCGAAAAGCTTAGATATCTAAGATTCTGTGAGTCGAGCTTTCAGCATCTTTAGGTTGGTTACTTCTTATAGTGTACGTTTTCAGGCTTACTGTACTCATGGCTTCGTGGCGACATATTGGTTGTTAAAACGGAACAGCAAATGAAAATCTTGGGTAGCTGGCTACATACATTTAGTAGTGTGGACATACCCATTGTTAATATAACCTTGTGTAAGTAGGATTTTAGTATTTAACGAACCTTTCTTTCAAACACTGTATCCCCATTTCACCTGCAAGTCCCAAACCGGAAACAACTGTTCCGTGAACTAATATAACTTAAAAAAACTCTAATTGTTTTGCTTCATGTTACGCGTTGGTGAACAACAAATGTAATATCTTGTGGCATCAATCGAGGTAATCACCAACTGGTCCTGCGATTTCGTGTGTGATGACCCTTATCGGAACCTTCGTCGGGCACCGTGGATGTTCCAACAGTATCAGCCAACAACATCCTGTTCACGTAGACGGGAAAAACAGGGTAGTGCTCTTCTAAAAGTAGCAGAAGACGTTTTGGTATACATTTTGATATTTGCGTTGTTAACCTTAAGACTGTGCAATGTTCCCTTTTCACTGAATTTTGGCATGCGCGAGTATGAAGCGTTTGCAAAAACTGACCAGTACCCATCGTAGACGCAGCCTATCGTAAACGCTGGTGATAGACTACCTAGTTATTTGTAAGTAGGCAGGTAAGTTACAAATGTCGATTTATCCTTTGCGGAGGATATCTGTTGGTGATCTCACGCTGTGTCCGCCTCACAAGGATTCCTTCATCAATACCATCTCTCCACACCGTTTAGTGCCAGGTTGGGAAACGAATTCTCAGATGTAGATCAACATAGGCAGAATTCATACATGTTTTATTTCAAGCAAGGCATCCTTCTTTTAAACTAGGCCCAAAGTTTTCGACAGCACTCGTTTAAACACAGGAAATAAATCGCAAGGAAAAGTACACCCATTATTTGTTCCATGATGTACTTTAGAATGTTTGCCACTGAACCGGACAAAGTTTATAATATAAAAAGTACACTAATGGTAAGAAGAACGCACCAATTACATCAAACAGCTTGTACACCACTTCCTAGTGGTACGCGAGGAGTAAGGTTGTGAGTTACATAAAGACAGTGCAAAGCAAATGTACGATTGTGAACGAATTCAAGTGGCGCACATCTTAGATGTACCGATACGCTTGTTCCCACGAGTCTTAAAGAGATAGCTTGCACTCGCAATATCGCTGTCCTTCACAGAGCAGTAACAGTCATATTATTTCGGTCGGAAAACATAGAATGCAGGCGTTTTTCGGACTGGCAATCCTATGCTTGCTTGATTTACAAACTTCTAACTCAGTGGCTACGGAAAAAGTTGCACAATATTTTACTTCCACCGTTCCTACTTTCAAGACCGAAGAATCAAACAGCACTTTAATGAAAGAGAACAATGCGAAATACAGCAGAGAAACTGAGTCTTCCGATGAGTTGAGGACGGAAAAACGATTTATTCCTCTGGTTGCACTTCTGGGCGCAATACTTCCTGTGGCTTTGCCGCTGTTAGCAAAAGGAGTAAAATGGGTGGCCTCAAAATTCTTTGGGCCGAAAGAACCGCCAAATGAACCTGTCACAGAAATTGAGGATATGTCCGAAAATTCAAAACTCGCTCTGACCGACAGACTGAGAAAATCAGATCAGTTTCATTTCGAAGCAGAAGGAAGGAACCAGCCTTTACAAAATGCTCAATACAGGCGATTCATGCATCCAACGTTATTCAGTCCACAACGGTTCCAATACCAGCGACCGCAAAGGTATCGATTTAGACCGTCGTATGCTCAATGGCGCTACTGACCTGTCTCAACTTGCTTGTAACCTTCCGCACTTTGGAGCTGGCGGGCATATTATTCGAACAAATGTATATGAAACTGGTTCAATGATATTGCGTTATGGATCAATAAAAGCTAATTGCATTCAAACACCCACTGAAAGAACAAAAGAAAGTGTAAGCGAGCATGTTTTCTGTAATTGTTCACAGGCAGTTGAAATTATATGGAAATCAAAATTTTGTATACAGACCCAGCGGGTGATCAGTCAGCTAAATTGATTCTAGTGCACTATGACAAACCGTCGGTCAGGTTCCAGTTATAGTCACACGCCCACATAGGTCAAGTGGAATCCGTCCTGGCCAAGGTAGACTCAACATTTCTGCATGCATAGCGCTGGTTCGTACAACCGAATGGTGAAAACTTCTGCGGCGTCTAATATCCACTTACGGAAGTAGTTGATAGATTTTCTGTTGCCTGAGAGATTACTTTGAACGAACCAGCCGACTTGGTGGCGTGATCCGTATCCGCAAGATGCGCGGCGAGGGCAGAGTTGGTGACCTTTTAGCTTCCATTTCCGAGCCAGGCCGGATGGTGTTCCGTCACGCTTTCGGATAAGCGTCTTGTCGTACGAGCAACGTGACGTGCTCCACAGGAACAGGTGAAGCAGCAAACACACATTGCATTGGTGTGGACAGGCAGCTTATCCTTGAGTTTCAGTCTCACTATTGCGCTGCTGGTGAACCGAATCTGTAGTCACCCCGTTGGGAGTGTATTCCTGAGTGTGTACGAGAGACGGCGGAATAGATACGCTGATACTATTTCCTCTTTGTAAGGTAGTTGCAGGAAAATAGCTTTCCGTTCCGCCATTAGGACAGTAGGTGCCTCCCTGTTTCGCCCATATTGGCTTTAATAAAATTCTCTTGGTTACCATTCTCGCTAAGCACTTATCTTTTGCGCTGTAGCTCTTCAAAAACAGGATCTATCGAGTAGATAATTCCGGCCTGGTTCGCGGGACTGAGGACCAAGTTTCTCTTAGTCCGAAGCGGCACAGATGTATGAAAGTTTATGTGCTGTCCACTCCAAGTCTACTTTCGGTAAACGCGACGTTGTATTGCACCATCTACAAGTATTGTTAGAGCTACATCGAGTAAATGAAAAGCGCCTTTTTCTTCTCACTTATAAACGAACTCTACAGTCTTGTGGGCCTAAGTAAATACGCTGGTGAGCTCCGCGATATTACTTGAGGCGCCAAGTAGGAAGAAGATGTCATCTACGTAACGTTAGTATAACGTAAGGCTGCTGATGACCACTTTCGATTTACCCTGTTTCAACATGCGCATGAAAACATCAACAAGAAATGGTGCAAGCGGGGAACCCCTTGCAACTCAGTCGCCCTGCCGCTTTATATATCCCCGGTGAATAGAAACTGAACATTAAATGTACGCTTGAGCAGTAATTCTTTCAGAGTCATAGTTAGTATGCCAATAGTAAGATGGTTCACGTCAACAAAATTGCAAATTAACTCAATCGTTTCAAATGAAGGAACATTCGTGAACAGTGCGGTGACGTCCAGAGAGCACATAGTTTGGTTTGTGACGTTGACAGCACGCACGACATCTACAAACGCAAAAGTGTCCTTTAGGGTATGTGCAGCAACTCGTCTATGTATGAGCTTAAGAAAATGCGACGAGTAATGGAGTGGTACGGGGAATTTCTCATGTCCAAAATCGGGTGAAGAGGACAATCAGACTTGTGGGTTTGGGGAAGGCCGTAGAGATTTGCAATAGCCGTGTCCAGGAGGCGTATATGTTCAAAGACCGATTCATTGGTATAAGCATTTAAGCTTTTTGAGACAGATACACAGTTGCTTTTCCTTCTGCTTCGTTTTGTCTCGCTCACCAGTCATTTTCAAGAATTTCTTATTATTTGCTAATATTTCCCCCATCTTGTTGAGGTAGTCTGCTCCATTTAAAATAACACTGCCGGCGCCTTTGTCTGGACGAGTAGGCAGAATTTGATCATTGCTATGTGGTCGATGCAATGCTTGCATATGCTCATGTTTCACTGGGTTGTTGTGCGATACCCGTGCACACCGATTTTGTTAACAGGCATGAACCAAAAGGGACTTCAACTCTTCCGCATGCACTTCAGGAAATGGGGTCAGTTGTGAAGTCGGTGTGTAGAAGTTCTCGAAATATGCCTCTATTGCCAGCCTGTCATCATTTCTAGTAGGGAGGCAGAACTACTTGCTTTATGATAATTTCTTCAACCGTTTTCCCCCGCTCTTCCTTATCGCTTGCGAATAGGCTTGTTAGGACAGTACTCACTCGGTTCAGCGCACGCTTGAGCGTACCCTCTTGATGCGAGTGGTATTATTTGACACAGCGCTAGACGTTTCAGGCGTGCATTGAGCCATACGAACTACGCATAGCAAGAATGGTAACCAAGAGAATTTTATTAAAGCCAATATGGGCGAAACAGGGAGGCACCTACTGTCCTAATGGCGGAACGGAAAGCTATTTTCCTGCAACTACCTTACAAAGAGGAAATAGTATCAGCGTATCTATTCCGCCGTCTCTCGTACACACTCAGGAATACACTCCCAACGGGGTGACTACAGATTCGGTTCACCAGCAGCGCAATAGTGAGACTAAAACTCAAGGATAAGCTGCCTGTCCACACCAATGCAATGTGTGTTTGCTGCTTCACCTGTTCCTGTGGAGCACGTCACGTTGCTCGTACGACAAGGCGCTTATCCGAAAGCGTAACGGAACACCATCCGGCCTGGCTCGGAAATGGAAGCTAAAAGGTCACCAACTCTGCCATCGCCGCGCATCTTGCGGATACGGATCACGCCACCAAGTCGGCTGGTTCGTTCAAAGTAATCTCTCAGGCAACAGAAAATCTATCAACTACTTCCGTAAGTGGATATTAGACGCCGCAGAAGTTTTCACCATTCGGTTGTACGAACCAGCGCTATGCATGCAGAAATGTTGAGTCTAGCTTGAACAGGACGGATTCCACTTGACCTATGTGGGCGTGTGACTATAACTGGAACCTGACCGACGGTTTGTCATAGTGCACTAGAATCAATTTAGCTGACTGACCACCCGCTGGGTCTGTATACAAAATTTTGTATTCCATGTAATTATAATAGCCTGATGAGCAATTACCGTAAACATATGTTCTGTTGCACATTTGTTTGTTTAAAAGAAATTTGGATGACTGTACGCTGGTATAAAACGGTTATTCTGGTACCTTTACTGTGTGCGTTTTCGTGTGATATTTTAACGAGTACTTCGTAAACCGTAGGATAAGCGGATTATAGTATTCTGTTTGATATTTTATGGACAAGATGGAAGCATGTAATTTTAAACATATTAAAATTATTCTTGTTATTCTTCTTGCTCTTGGGAATTGGCAATCAAATGAAAATGACGTGGCATCGGCTGCAATGACGGTGTCCACCGTGCTGTTCCCCCTTTACTGTTTATAATTTGTAGCGTTACTGTTAGAAATGCGCTGCATAATATGTAAATGGGTTACTAACGTTATAGCTAATGTGTGGGGTGATCTCTTTGTTATAACCGGTGTCTAGTAGGATCATCTTCATAAAATGTAAGTAAATGATATCATTTGCGGCTGCAACTGTTAGTTGTTAGCACGAAGATCAGCACCAGGATCACACATGTGGTCAAGTGGGTTTTTCGATACCCTTCAGGATTCTACTTCCGATTCATACATGCTCTGTACTGAGCTTAGAAAGATCTAGTACATTGCACCCGTCTTACTAATTAAACACAACACATTTTGCATAATGTGTTCCATCATAACCGCCGCTAGCTCGTCAGCAGCTTGGGGCATTTCTAACACAGATTGATTGATTACGCTACTTAGCTCTTATTCGCTGGTTGCAAACTGTCCCATGTCACTGGCGTGATTCCCCCCATCTACATTATTTTCTGGAATGTTTACCGTTACCTTATTTTGGTGCACACAATGAACTTGCTCATCAGCTCCTTTAATTGATCATGGGAACATCTGCCGACCTCTTACCACCTTTCCCTTCAACATTCCTTTGCCTATGGCACACAGTTGAAGAAAGTAAAAGAACCAACAACAGCAGATGGTAAATGGTTTCAGGTATAATATTTCCGTGCGAAGCGCTGCTACACGTTTACGTGGAATCGTGCCTGATATTGTGAGCATGCATTTTCGAGCGAGGCGCAAAGCGTTATCGGATTAGGTAATCCGAGGCTTCAGAATATGCGCTTTAATGCAGCATACCAAGAGAAAAGAGCGAAACAGAAGCAATTCCCACCAACGTTTAGAAAACGGCTCATATGGTACGCTACTATGTTGACAGATATCTGACAATACTGTCCTTTCCGCTTCTGTCAACTGCTTTTGAAGCCAATAAAGTGTGGATGGAATAGATCGGGTCAGACAAGTAGACTGATAAGTTCCACCAGACCCATTGAATACTGATTGATAACGTACCAATCCTAGACCCACCAAAACACCGCGCTGTTGTCGGTTGCGACTTATGAATGCATGGTTTGACTGACTTTGATCTGTTGAACATAGGGTAAGACGGTACTAGTCAACCGTCAGTAGTAGGTTGAGGACTGAAGGCTGGCGATTAATACACACGATTTTCTTGTGTACCGCCTATATGAAAACCAAATTTCTAGGTTGCCTACAAGCGTTCGCTTCCATACGCTTTGCATCTTGTACCAGAATAAATCTAACCTTACGATGGCCATTATCGATCACCAAATCAGACCGTTACGGGAAAGCACTGCTTCATGCTTAAACAACACCGCAAGCAGACCAAATTGAAGTGTTCCATAAGTCGTTTTGAAGTAACTTAAAGAATATTACATCCAAGACCTGCTCGGTATTTGCTGGGAGATAAATTCAGGACACGTAGCGTAGTTTACTTATCAGGCCAAACAGGGTACGCTAATCAACGCCACTTTACAAAATCACCAAACCAGACAGGAGATCCAACGTTGCTTCCTTCGTGCCGCGTTGCAACATTCACATAATATTCACCTTGGTATAGGAACTTTTACCAGCCAGTTGGTTCGCAACGAACAACATACTCCGTGCTCACCTATGTATGCATCAACACTTGTCAGTGACCAACAAAGCTTACG